TATTCACCAATGTGCCAGTAGAGAATTTAGAAATTATACGCAGACAATATCCAATACCACAGGATACATTAAACCTGACGAAGCACGGCTTAAACAACACCTATTTCATCTACAAGGACCAGAGGTATAAACAAGTTGAAGGGGCACCGATGGGTTCATCACTGTCACCCGTAATAGCCAACCTTTTTATGGAAGATATGGAATCAAAAGCAATAGAAACAGCAGAGCATAAACCCAAACTGTAGCTTAGGTATGTTGATGACACATTTATTATCTGGACGCATGAAGAAGAGAAACTTAACGAATTCCTACAACACATTAATAATATCCATCCAAAAATACAGTTTATCATGGAACGGGAGAATAACCAACAACTTCCATTCCTAGATGTGTTAGTTATTAAGAAAGAAGACGGAAGCATAGGACACACAGTATACCGAAAACCAACCCATACTGACAGATACTTACACGCAGACTCACACCATCATCCTGCACAATTAAATTCGGTAATAAAAACCCTAATAACAAGATCTGAAAAACTGGCAGATAAGGAACATGAGACCGAAGAAATGCAAACAGTCAAAACAGCTCTAAGAAAAAATGGCTTCTCCATGTATACGATTGAAAAGGCACAGAAATCCCGAAACAAAATCAAAGATCCAGAAGAAGAAGAAAAACCAGTCGGAAAAACTATCCTGCCCTATATGGCTTGATTAAGCTTGGGTACACAGTTTACTTCAATTTCTATCGACGTATCTTCCTCTTGCCTCACTAGAGGTCTCTAGTTGCATACTCTGGCAGTTATTTTCATGTAATTGCCAGAGTAATCGATGCGTTTTGATTTGGTTTGATTCTTCTTACAAACTCCTTCTGATGACGGGTAGACCCAGAAACACGTGTTAGGGAGTGGTAAGAGACTCGAATTAAATCGAAACGCAACCTTCTTCGTATATTTATTGTCCTTACTCGACGCAATTAGTACAAGAATGATGGTAATTTATATGGATAAATTGTTGGTGCATAGTGGAATATTATTCCCAGCACCACTCTGAATGGCTTGATTAAGCTTGGGTACACTGGTACACAGTTTACTTTAATTGCTATCGACGTATCTTTATATTGCCTCACTAGAGGTCTCTAGTTGCATACTCTGGCAGTTATTTTCATGTAATTGCCAGAGTAATCGATGCGTTTTGATTTGGTTTGATTCTTCTTACAAACTCCTTCTGATGACGGGTTAGACCAGAAACACGTGTTAGGGAGTGGTAAGAGACTCGAATTAAATCGAAACGCAACCTTCTTCGTATATTTATTGTCCTTACTCGACGCAATTAGTACAAGAATGATGGTAATTTATATGGATAAATTGTTGGTGCATAGTGGAATATTATTCCCAGCACCACTCTGAATGGCTTGATTAAGCTTGGGTACACTGGTACACAGTTTACTTTAATTGCTATCGACGTATCTTTATATTGCCTCACTAGAGGTCTCTAGTTGCACACTCTGGCAGTTATTTTCATGTAATTGCCAGAGTAATCGGTGCGTTTTGATTTGGTTTGAGTCTTCTTACAAACTCCTTCTGATGACGGGTAGACCCAGAAACACGTGTCAGGGAGTGGTAAGAGACTCGAATTAAATCGAAACGCAACCTTTTTCGTATAGTAGATCAAATATTTAAGATTCGACAAATATTAGAAAAACTAGGAATTTAACCGAGATTTACATTTAATTTTTGTAGATTTCCAGCAAGCATTATGATTTGATATAAAGACTATGGCTAGCAATGCTAGAAATGGGAATACCAAGAAAATTAGTGGAGCTAACTCAAATGTGCGTGATAGATGCATATGTACAGGTAAAGATAGCAAACAGAGCATTGATGCTATTTAGGGGAACATTAAGACTTAGACAAGGAGCCCCCTTATCACCGTTGCTATTCAATTTGGCCTAAGAATATTCAATAAGTGAAATATCGTCTGAGCTGATAGGGGAACTTGTGAATTGGGGATCAAAACTACTATTGGTCTGTGCTGATAATCTAGATGCAGTCGCTCATTCTGCAAGAGATGTGAGAGCAATTTTTTCACAACTCTGGAAGTGGGTAGTCTGGGTCTAAAAACCATATAGAAAAAGAGATCTCAGTAAGGATAGCTGCGGGGAATAGAGCATTACACTCCCTATCATCAGTATTAAGATTTAAGTTGCTAAAAAGAATATCTAAAGTAAGACTTTACAAGTCAATTATTCGTCCAGTTGTTAAATATGGAAGTAAAACGTAGACTCTACATCAGCGCGAAATAAATAAGCTGCTGGTATTTGAAAAGAAGGGTTTTAGAATGGTATTTGGACTTCAAAGAAATGAATTGACAGAAGAGTGGAGAATGCTCTGCACTGCTGAATTGACGACTCTGTATGGTACTAAAGCCATATAAAAGGTAACCGGATAAGATGTGCAGGTCATGTGGTAAGATCAGAGAAAGACAGAGTGCTAAAGATGGTGGTTTTTGAGAGACCAGACGGTAGACATATCAAGGCAAAGAAGAATAAGATGGCCAGATCACGTTGTACGATCAGAGGATGACAGAGTGTTAAAGACAGTGTTTTTTGAAAGACCAGATAGTAGAAGATCAGTAGGCCGACCGAGAAAAAGATGGAAGTATGATGTTGAAGCCGATTGATCTAGAATTGGGGTACAACAATGGCAAATAGAAGCGCAAGATCGTAGAGGATGGAGGGCGATAGTGGATGCGGCGAAGACTCACCCTGAGTTGTAAAGCCAGTGAAGAAAAAGAAGAAGAAGACGGTAGAAGATCGGTAGGCCGTCCCAAAAGAAGATAAAAGGATGATGTTGAAGGTGATTTATCTAGGATTGCGGTACAACAATGAGGAATAAAAGCGCAGGATCGTAAAAGATAGACAACTATAGTTGATACGGCGTAGACTCACCCCGAGTTGTAAAGCCAGTCAAGAAGACTGTAAATATATTTTAAGCATAAGAGATCATAGAAGACAGAACCCTGTTACATCACTTTGCTCGCTACGCTAGTGATCCCCAACCTAAAGACAATGTTTTGACGTCACCGAACGTTCGAAGAAGCTATCTGTGAAGTCGAGATGATTCCACACTGTTCACGAGGGGCCTTAGAAACTTGTCGACGGTCCGTTGAGAGATTTCGATGGAACTCCAGAATAACCACACAAACATATATAATCGAAATCAAATTGTAGAGAGTCAGTCTAATAAATATATTTGTAGCGTAAACTCAATAAAACGATATAAATTAATTGTTTTTTTAGTGTTAGTAATAGAAGATTGTAAATAAATTAAAATAAGTAGAAAAAAAAATAATAAAAGGCTGTAAATAAAAACTGAAATAAACTACACAATATTATAGTCTACAGCTGGAATTTCGCAACGAGTTGCTCGCCTTTTGAAAGATTAATTGTTGTTTTTGAATAATTTTTCTGACGCTGTTTCCTTCTGTATCTCAGCATATCTTAAAAATCTGGAAATATTTCAAAAAATAAACAACACTTTGAAACCGGAGTTCGTCTTTAAAATACCTATAAATATCTAAAACATCTTGATCAACTTCACTTAAAAAAGGTCCAATGGAACGGAAATGATCAATATGCATTTATTTTTACTTTTTTGTTGAAAATTTAGGAAATACATAATAATTGTTAGAAAAAGTTTTAAAACTAGTTCGGTTTGTTTTAATTTTCCAAATCTCCGGCATTTATTAAAACTTCAACAGCAAAATAGAACGAGCTGCAAACGCTGTCATATTTTCGAGTATTTCCAAAACAATTCATAATGTTGTATTATTTCTTCCGCAATTGTTCGTGTACGTGCCTCAAGTGGTTAGGGTTAAAGATAACTAACCCCAACTAACTCCTTTTACCCCTTTTTGAGGGCGTTTTGAGGGCGAACGAGGACTCAAATGAATTGAAACGAAATCTAGCATGTTCTGAGGACACAAGATAATCAGAGAAGACAACAATTTAATTAAAATATATATAAGGACGAGTCTGGAGGCTCTGAAATAAACTGAGGAGGTTTTTTTAGTTTTAGCTCTTCCGTCTAATCTCAGAACGACTCATTACGGATAATAAAGTGGTGAAAAATAGAGCTGGAAGTTTCTTGTTTCTAGAGTATTTAAAATTAATGTTTTCTAGAATTTTTATAAAATGTATTGCTAAACTCGAGACTTTAGTTTTGCGGTAAAAGTAAAATATTGTTCTTAATAATTCTAAATTGTAAAGCATATATAGTTGTGTATCAAAAATAAATACTAGGGATATAGGGGAATATAGTAACTAAAATTAATCTACAGTACTTGTGCGTTCATGTGTGTTCATGTTAGAATAGTGCACTCTCGTGTTAGTTTAGATAAAAGGCGCTTTTAATTTTAAGGACAGTTGTAATTTAGGTTAAATTATTTATGACCAGTTTGTAATTAATACTTATCATCGTACTGATGATTATTTAACAAGATGTATATGTATGTATAAGTAAATAACAAATAAGAACTTTCTGTTTTTTTTTACCATACAAAAATTCATAGGTCCTGCGTCTCTTCATCATCTTCAGAAAAATCTCTTGTTCATCTTTGGTCACTCACTCAACCTGGGTGTGATGTGAACTCTATCCATCACAACCTCCTTGAGTGAGCGATTAAGGGAACACCTCAGCTACATCCAAGGATTTGAAGACTACACTACGAAGAAGAATGCATACATCGGCATAAATTGTTCTAGGAATATGGATTCATAGATGTATTTGTGTATATTGAGCTTGATTATATCTTACAAAATTCACAATTGACAATATTATTTTAGTAAACAGTCGACCATAATTTAAGACTTCAAAAGATGTCTATTTATACAAATATTCGGTATACAATTTTGTTATAAAGTTATTACTTCTATTCGTATTTTAAAAATGCTCTAACACCCTTTCGGCTTAACTTTTCACCCTTTCAATTTTGTTTCAGTGTAAGAACGAAAAATGTGGACAATTTAAACTTCGACGAAGTCCGGTACGTCATATTCAGGGCTTTGCAGGTTTGGTCCAAGCATTCCAAGCTGACCTTCTCGGAAGTTGACAGCGACAAGGCGGACATATTGATCTACTTTCACAGGTACGAGAACATTTTTGCGATATTTTCGATATTTTTAAGACGGGGATCATAGGAACGACAGGTGTTCGTTTTATTTGAAAAAAATATATGTCAGATTTTTACGTAGTGGTTTCTTTTTAAACGTCCCAGCATAGGATTTTAGTAATTTAGCTAAAGATTATTGAAAAAAAAAAAACAAATTGACACAAAAAGAAGATAAAAAAAGAAAATTTCACAAAATACTCATTACCGAAATTAAATGTTGTATTTTAATAATTTTTGATAAGTAGTATGTTCAAAATATGCAAAATTGCAGTAAAAACAAACGATTTTGTAGATTGTCGAACATATTTACAAACAATTATTGCTGTAGATGTGTAAAATATTTCTAATTAGTTATTTGAAATTTTTTCTCTTAATGTTTTCAACAATTGATCGAAAGATCCCATTTCAGATATTGTTTGTACGTTATTTTAGCGTTTCATATGTATCTATTTTTCAATTTCCTTAATGCTTCCTTTACCTCTTTCTTCTCAATGTTTATTTCTTCGTTTGCAGTGGTGAATGTAACTTGCTTTGCACTTCGAATGTGCCGCTGGTCAATAGTCAAACTCCGTGTGAAAAAGACTTTATTTTGAACACAATACATGAATATATGACCGCTAATAAGTATTATGTTCCGCTCGCTATCTGCCGGTCTCGATTCTCGTATCTTGTATGAGTGCTGTCGCCTGGAGATTCTTTTCGTGACTCTATTAAATCTTTGCATAATATGACACTCATGCAGACACTGCTACCAAAGAATATAGACGCTTATATATTCTTTGCTGCTACGTTGCAGCATCGGAAAAATGCATAAAACGGACTTAAAACATATGATGGCGTGAACATCTGGTGTTGGTGGTTCATTATCGACACCTTTAGCAAATAGGGATTGAAAGTAGTCTGCCCATGTTTTCTTCTGAATGTGTTTCGTTTACATATATTAGTTCGTTCTTTTCTTTTCAAGAGGACAAATCCTCTGATCATTCTCCATATTTCTTATCCAGGAGAGGACACAATAGCGAACTTACTCCTAAAGTACGGAGGACCAGATCTGACCAAACACTTATTAAAACTAATCAAAAAAATAATAGAACAAAATAGAATGAGAGAATTTTCTCAAGAATGGATATCAAGCAGCCTAATACCTCTCTTCAAAAAGGGTGACAAATCAAACCCGGAAAACTACAGAGGAATAAATTTTTTAAACGCAACACTAAAATTAACAACCAACAACCAAAGCGATATCAATAGGCTGAATGAAATTATAATACTAGCAGAAGAACAACAAGGTTTACCGTCGGTAAGATCATGCACCGACGCTATATTTATAATGAGGCAAGTAAAAGAGAAATCACTGGAATAAAACAAACTAGCTTATTTATGTTCCGGGGGGAGTAAGAAGGAATTTGACATAGTCAAGTTAAAGGACGTCATCAACTTATTTTATGTAAGAGAGATACCCTTAGGAAAAATCAAAACGATCAAATATAATTACCAAAACAACACAATAAAAATAAAAAACAAGAAGAAATAACTAACCCTATTGAAGCTGGCAATGGGATAAGAGAGGAAGATTCCCTGAGTCCTCTCATATTTAACCTGGGGAGAAAAACAACTAGAATAATCTGGTGTAATTTACCAACAAGACAAAATACATAGTTATAACATCAAATTTACTGTGATGTAAATTGGAGCTGGAAGGTCAGATAATAGAACAATTGATGAAGTTTAAGTATCTAGGCATCACATTATCTAGCTACGGAAATCTGAAAACAGAAATTGAAGATTAAGTGAATAGACTTGATAGTGTTATTATAGACTCTATTCGCTAACTGTAGAATATTCGCTTGAAATTAGATTCGTAAGAACTAATAATATATTATAATATTTTTTGCCTTATATTATTACTTACATTTAACAATTTTTACAGTTTTATATGTCTATTTCTTCTTCTAAGAGTGCTTGTCCATTACACAGTATTTCATCGGTCATCCACGATTTCCGTTTCTCTGTATCTTTCTACAGGTGTTGTTTTTTATCTCTCTCACTGTTTCTTGTATGATGGTCAAACTTTCCTCCATAGTTTCTACATTTCTGCGTTTAAGCACCTTATATGCCTATTTAAGGGAGATTATCGTTGCTTTCACCATCACTGTTGTTGTCGCCTCTTAACGTAATCACTACTGGTTCTATTATAGTATCAACATGAACATCTAACTCCCACATTCGTTTCTCGACCTTTCGTACATGGGAAATAGCATTCTGCTATGTTAATGGCATAACCTCATCAATAGCAGCATTTAGCATTTAGCAATAGAAGCTTTACATCTTCGCAATTTTAAGGGTTTCATTATGACGTGCCATATAACCCTCTGTTTGTGCTCACATTAGTTCAATCGTGTTCAATTCGTAGTGATATAGTGAAAATCTTAAAACAGTAACACCACGAGCACGGGTCCTTCCATCCACTACGTAATCGATATGATTAGGGAATTGTTGTTTGATTAAACACATCAACTCTACCCTAACTGTATTCTCATAGTACGGAATATTTTTTTCCTTGAGCCACTTTTGCATTCCAGAGGAGTTGCCATAGTCGCTAGAATTTGTTCATTCTGGTGACTATGTTATGATGCATTATTCATAACGATAACGCAGGTATCTTCAACACGTTGCAGATAATATTGAAACCACTCTTCGAAACGATCTGCATTCATATCCTCATGGTAATCACCGTTTTTTTAAACCACTGTCTTTTAGAATGCCGCTGTCATTTTCAATATGGGTGTCACTATGAGTCGCTGTATTTTATCTGTCTGTCCTCAGAATCCTTAAAATAGACCTTCAACAAAAGCTTGCCGACCTCATGTTACATTAGTATCAGTCCACACATTTTTAACAGTATGTCCAGCATTGACCCAAGTTTCGTCTGAATAATAGATTTTTCTATTTTGTTCACGGAACTCTGGCATTTAACACAGACAGTTGCGACGCCACGTAATGATTTTAGATTTCTCTATCAACGCCGAATTCCTGTTGTACTATCCTGTATAAGCAAATTCCAATTTATGCCACTGCTTGCAAAGTTTCACGACTCATTTGGGGAACTACTTTATTAGTTTTTATTGCGGAAAATATTATGTCTAGAGTAGGAATTTTCCTATTAAAATAAAAATAATGAACTGTACGTCTTATTTCTGAATTGTTATGTTCATTAAATTCAATTAGTTTTCGACATCGTAGATGTGTCTGTGGGACCTGAACTTCGCCCGAGCTTTGTTTTTAACGGATAATCCAGTAAATAGTGGATGGCGATACTCCTGTAATATATTCACAACGACTTATTGCCTTCGCCTAAGACAATAATTTTCTCAAATACTCGTACAAATTAGACACTATTTTTTTAGCTTCACGTCCTAGCTGTTTGCGACAAATTTTCACATTTATACTCTTCCAGTTAGTACTAGCTATAGTTTCCCAGCTACTATATACTTATAACACACAGTGTACTTATAACTTTGAGGAAACCAAATATATACTTACCTATATCCTTTTCTCCGCTACTAAACACACTTCCTGGTATCGTTCATTGCGATATATTGCGATAGCTAACCTATACGAAAAACCCAACTGATCACGCTCATAAGTCATTTCACTTATTATTTGCCAGACTATAGTAATTTAGTTAAACGTCAAGTGAAGTGTAAAGCTGATTTTACTTTACTGATTAAATGCAGTAATAAAACCCTACCACTGTATTTGTTCCTTCATTATTTCTTTTATTACCTAAGGTTAACCTAATGGCTAAAACTAATTTGTTTTTTCCAATATTGGGATATAAAACTATCATTAGATGAAACATTTCCACATAGGTTTATGGTGCGTCATAAAATCGGAATGTTTCCGGGGCAATAGGAAATGTAATTGAATTTCCGATTTGAAGGTTAAGACATATTGTCTAGACTCTGTTGACAATGGGTAAAATTAGGAATTGTTGGTCATCCATCACGAAGTTAGTTTCGATTAATTTTTCTTTAGACCCAATTCACGTCGATTTGGATATGGATAATACTACAATAGTCTTATATGTTTTTAAATATAAAGTATATTTTAATTGAAGGGGCTAGAAGGGTTTAAGTGCATTTAAATATTCCAAAAATTGTATGAATTGTCTGTAATTCTTTATGAAAAACGTGTCTGCAAAACGGTTTTCTTATGTATTTTTGACGTTTCTGTGCTCAGATTTCAGGTTGTTTGTACAAAAATATCGGAGTTCGGAATGAGTGAACCTGATAAACAAGGAAAGAAGGAACCCCTATACAAAATTAAGCAAATATCCAAAAATATGATGATTTCCCACATTAAGATCTTCCAAACTATCAGAGCCATTATTCAAAAAAAAAAGACAACCTTAATGCTAAATACCTTCCTGACTTTTTGAATATTAGTAAGCTGTATAGTCTATATATAAAATTTTGTAATGAACAACATAAAGAACCTGTGAAAGAATCATATTATCTTCAACACAGAATTCAATTTGAAATTTCGCAAGCCTTATAGTGATACATGTAGTCGCTGTGACAATTTTCAGGACTTCATAAAATATTCTGAAAATGAGAAAACCATTTCAAACGCTAAACGGGATTTAGAACTACATTGGAGAGAAGCTAAGAAAGCAAACGATTCTAAAACATTAGATATTGAAAAACACAAAAATGTTGACGATACTGTCGTTATTTGTTTTGATTTGCAACAGATATTGCCAACACCACTAGTCACTACGTCCAAGGTATTTTACCTTCGTCAACACTATGGACGTACAATTTTTATATATACAACTTACTTACTGGACAAAGTCACATGCTTTTACAGAATAAAACAATTGCAACAAGAAGTTCCCAGAAAATAAGCTCATGTCTGTAAAAATTTATCAGGTGTCTACACCCCAAGGTAACAAAGATAGTTGCATATAGTGCCTCTTGTGGAGGTCAGAATAAAAACAAAAACATCTGCAAACTGTTCTCCTTCATCGTTCAAGTTACTCATATCACCGAGATCTATCACAAGTTTCTGGAACCTGTTCAAATTTCTCAAGTTTTTGTTTCAGCAGATTGGGAACGTTTTATAAGATAATATAATTATTATTATCTTTGGAGGTCACTCATAAAAGAATTTGCGGTTATAAATCGCTTTTTTTCACTCCAATCGTTGTGAATGTCAGTTAAATAAAATCATTGCATACTGTGCCGCAGAAATAATGTAAAATCTTTTTGATTTTAAATTTTAAACCATGTTTCCACAAGTATTGTCTAACTGTTTGAGCACTACCTTTTATTCGTACGCTCGAAAGTTTTTGAATCAATTCAAAAATTTCCTTTTGTTGACATTTTTTATTAATATTTTTTTGTTATTTGTACATTTATTTTTACAATTAACAATCATTTTTACTTTTTCTAATTGTTTTTAGAGGATCTCACGGTGACAATTTCCCTTTCGATGGTCCCGGAAAAGTTCTGGCGCACGCATTCTTTCCAACGGCTGGTTGGTCGAGCGTGGAAGTCCACTTTGATGCAGACGAAAAATGGACAACGAAATTTGACAATGAGGAAGGTACGTAAGGTTGATTTATGTATTAAAGATTAACACAGGCAGATCATAAAATAATGTACAAGTAGAAAATTTTCTCAAAATTTAATACATGGTAAATGAGACAGTTTAATTTTATTTGCTTTAAAATGTAATTTGTCAGTTTGGTGCAAAGCTGCAAGTGTCTTTCGTCTATCACCTCAATTTAAGCTAGAAACCTTCTATTTGCAGCGAGATAGGAAACAGCCTTAATTAAAAAAAGGAATTACAGTGGAATTTTATGCGAAGCGTGTCGATACGAAACAGATTTTTCTCTTATCTGTTTTCATGTTCTACCCACTTGACTCGTGTGATCTGTCTTTTCCGTTTATTTTTGATTAGACGCCATATGGGGGAGGACGCCGTTGATGTACACACATAAACTTCATCTAGAAATGCCGGGATTTTATCGCTTTTTATCAGCTTCCGCTTCGGGGATCGCCGTCTACATTTATTTTATACATTCTCTGACAGATATCATACGCTGGATGATATCATTATGTTCGGTGTGCAATAAAATTTGATAAAAGCTTAAATTTTGTTTAAAAGTACACATTTGTGGGTGGTTTGCAAATAACTTATGATGAATTAATTTTACCCTTTTATTATTTTATTTTAAGTGACGTGTATCTTGGTTGGTCGACAAGCACTTACATAGAATCAATTTTTTTGTTATAGTAGCAATAGATAGATAAACATTTTTCTTTAATACTATATTGTAGGTACAATAATATTATGTTATTATACCAAATCAAATATCGATTTATAACTCAATATTTGTACACCTATGTTTCACTTTCATAGAAATAATTTTTATCAAATGATGCCTCCTTTATAAAAACGATATAATATAACTCGAGACTGGAATATATGCACTAAAAATTGTCTAAATTATGTATGCAATATGCATTTTAAAACAGGCTGAATATGCACAAATATAAACAAATAATATGCAAATATGCATTTATAATTTAGATATATGCACTAAATATGCACTGAGGAATAAAAAATAATTTTAATAATAGTTTTAATACAGTGTGGTTTTAATTTAAAACAAATTGTATCACTATTTCTTGCTATATTTTCTAAACATCAGCTTTTGTGACAAATAAAACGGTCACAATCACAATTCACAACAATAATTAGTTTTTAAAGCTATTAATCTAAATTTAATAGGTATTTCGAAATACCTATTAAATTATTATATATTATATTAATATATAATATATTATAATCAAATTGTGTAGGAAATCAAAACATAAATAAAATTCTTATTCTAAAAAAGCGGCAACACTTTAAACAATGTTGACACACGCTGAACTGTCATTAAATTTTGATGTATTTCCGTATTAGTTGCGTACAATTGTCTAATCTATTTAATTAAAATATTATTTTATGGAATGCTAAATTTGACCTTCAATATCTCGGCAACCAGTAAGCCGAATGTATCTTTTTTTAATTCTTATCTTTAAGAAGCATCTTTTAATGTTCTTTAAGTGTATAAATTTTAAAGTTGATATGTTTAAAGCTCGTCTTCTTCTTCTTCTCGTGCCACTCCTATCGGAGATTGGAAATCATCATGGCCACTGCGACTTTGTTAGCAGCGCGCCTGAAAAGTTCAATCGAACTACATCCGAACCATTCACGTAGATTACGAAGCCACGATATTTTTCTTCTTCCCACACTTCTTTTTGCCCTTAATTTTGCCCTGCATGATGTTTCTTAAAAGTTCGTACTTTTCACCTCTCACAATGTGCCCCAAGTATTCCATCTTTCTAGTTTTTATCTCATTTAGAATTTCGCATCTTTTGTCTAAAGTTTGGAGTACTTGCGTGTTAATGACGCGGTCCATCCATGATATTCTGAGAATGCGCCTATAGCACCACATCTCGAAAGCTTCGATGTTTTTTATGGTCAACTGTTTTAGTGTCCAAGCCTCAACTCCATATAACAGGGTAGAAAAGACATAACACCGCAGCATTCGTATTCGTAACTTTATATTGATATCACGATTGCAAAAGAGTTTGCGCATTCTATTAAAGACTGATCTAGCGATTTCTATTCTACATCTAATCTCTTTTGTTTGATCAGTATCGTCTGTGATCCAAGCACCTAGATATTTATAACAGGGCACACGCTCAATCGTTGTATTGTCTATTACAAGATTAGCTCTGATGTTCTTTGATTTCGTGATTACCATAAATTTAGTTTTTTTAAATTAATTTTCAAGCTCGTAAAGCTCGTAAAGCTTCAAGCTTAAAGCTCATAAAGTTATTCAATTTGTTTATAAGCCTAAAAAGTGTGTAAAACTTTAAAAAAAAATTCTAGGCTCTCCTAGTGAACCGATTTCAATTTTACAAAAAGCGTTTGAAAGTTTGAGCCTTCCTTTATATGTAAAAAAAATTTGCAACTATCTGAGGGCCTTATTTAGGGCCTACTATAAATTTGAAAATTTGCAATTTTTTTCCAGTAGCCTGAATTGTAAAATTATTATTCAAAACCTATCCGACCGATCTTAACAAAATTTAGCACACGTTTTAAACATATTAAAAAGTTTTTCTAGGCGGAATATGTAAGTCAAGTTTAGAAAGTCGAAAACATTTAAAGGATTAACTTCATCTTTTGTACTTTTTTTTTCAATTATTGCTATTTTTTCAACAATAAACATTAAATTTTCAATTTTTAGCTAACGAACTATTGTGTAAAATTGAATAACAAAACTTTTAACTTCCTATAATTTTTTCTCTAGGATCAATATTTTCCGAATTATAAACGAAAGTAGGACCAAAAAAATGAGAAATTTTCAATTGTTTTCAGATTTTGTTAAATAAAAAATTTAGCACAGGGTTTGGGACTGGCGCATATCGTGATTATCGATATTGGGCACATCCTGCAGGGATTTCAGCAAAAAATAGCTTCCTATGGAAAATGTCAAATCCAAAACAGATCCTGTCTAGACTATAGGTATTTACTAATGTAATCTTTTGTAAGAATTGTATAATCTTAAACACACGGACGGTGATACTTGTAGTGATAGTGATACCGTCGGTTATATTTATGAGTACAACAAAGAAGCTTATTTTGCTTTGGATGAGCTTTGTTATATTTTCTTTCTATTCCAATAGGTTCCATCCTGTTACTTTTTTTCACTTTAACAATTATTCGGCCTTGGTATATTACAACCATTATTGCAAAAATTATTATCATTTATTAAATAGTGCCATTGTTTCACAATTATCCCGTCAAATTTTCAAATTTAATTTCATTTTTGAAACACTATATTTTCTCGATACAAAAATTGCTCTTGATATAATCAAAAAACTACATTTTCGGAATTGGGCCTTTGTTTATAAAAAAAATAAGACCAATATAATACTACCTCGATAGGTATTTTTCATTAACTATGACTTAAAGCTATTAACTTAAGTATAAACTCAAGCTGTAGTCACTGTTTCGAGCTGCACAAGCTGGACATTACTTTGCTGAGATCGTTCCCAACCTTCAATAGAAGATGGTACTATGAAAACAAGAATGCCTGTAATATTATTTTATTGGGGTAACTGCTAAACTCTTGAAATGAATGTCGAAATCGTTTGACCTATAAAAAGTTCAAAGACTACCGCTTATACTTTTTATCTTTTTGGTTCAATTATAAATGTTCTAAACTAATTATTTGTTCGATAATTCATATTATTATTACATCTTAAATATACATCCAAAAATTATTCAAAATTTTATTGTTACTCTGGATAATAATTTCAATTTGGAACGAGAAATATTCAGTTTTGCGTCATGCAATTGTCTATTTTTAGCGATGGTAAAATGTTCGAAACGTATCCACGAAAATAATCAAAATTATTATGAGTTAACATTTTAATGAAAGCTTTAGAAACTTAATAAATAGATTTTGATTGACAATTGCTCATTAAATTAGTTTGTAGTGCAAAAATATGGCAATAAATAGGATAAGTGCTTGTTGTTGGATACAGAACACATACAGAGGTCTGGTGTTTATACTGCTTTTTGCAGGTAAGGAAACCACTTGTTTATTGTTGATTGAAAAAGAGTAAATAGAGTTAAATTGTCCAATATTACCTCATATAAAATATCGAGAAATTTGCTTCTTCGTTTCCTTAAATGCGTACGTGTGGTGGTACTCAGTGTTATGATTTTTGCGTTTATTTATGGAGAATATTTAATCTGCCTTTCACGAGGCTCAGAATTGGATGTTTTGGATACAACTGCTGAATTATCTGAATAAAGCTGTTTATTTAGAACCTTTTTTTACTCCCATGCTTCTCCGTCTCGTGCTAGACGTTTCTATGTTGATCCTGCAATAGTTTTACTGTTATTGCTCTAACGCATTTAGGGTCTGCCTGTGATCTCTTCACTTTGCCAGCTCCCTATTTCTCTGTTCCATCTACCATTCTTGAGGCATTCGTTATATCCAGGCCTCTTCCATTTCAATGAAACTGCTTGTTCAATAACGTCTTTTACTGTTGCCCTTTCTTTAATTGATCAATTATTTGATTTTCCTGAAGTGGTATGCTCAGTTTCTATCGTTCCATGGCTCTTTGAATTTTCAAAATTTGTTTGGTGAATATCCATGTTTGAGATCCATATAAGACAGTTATGCACCAGCTTATACAGTTCTAGTAAATAGTACCATGATTGAAGGTCTTGGTAGTCCCCAAAAAGTATTGACAGCCATCGATTTAATTCCTTACAATCATATAAGATATGGTCTGTTTCAGGTTTTCTGCTAAAACCTGCTAAAGTCCATACTAGCGCACGTTCAATAAGGAAGTCTGTTATCGCTGAGCTGCTTCCTGTTTGTTTTGCCCAGTACTTCAGTCCTGTTAGAATATTTTTGTTCAATATACATTTTGCTATATGTTTGACTAGATCTACTTTTCTTGAATCCATTAAGATTCCATTGGACAATCTTATCTGATTATTATTAAGCAGATTATGTTGATGTAACTGATTCATTTTTTAGAGCTTAAGCTATTGAATTTCGTTCTTTTGTTTTTGTAATATGTGTGTACATCGAACAGCAGCTTTAAAAGGTGATAAATATTTTCTGTGTAAGTTGTTGATATACTCAGTGGGTCTTTGGATTCTGCTGCATTTTCAAAGAAATCTAGAAAATGTTCATACTTAACGTTATAAACGTCAAATGTTTGTTAACTGCCTTTTAAAGAAAGTTGTGATTTTTATTGTTCTACATTGCCTCCCAACTTTCCGAGGTAGATATATTATTACCCATTGTCACCTACCATTTCTAATGGGTGATTCGATGGTCACAATACATTTATAAGAATTTAAGTCTCATCTTGAAATAGTTCTTTTATGTGAGGCATTAAAGGAGTGAAATCAGTCCTTTTGTGTTGAGATTTTGCCATTTGATTATATTTTTTATCCTTTTTGTCGATTTTTTTTTTCATTCTCTGCAGTTTGTGCACTGATATTGCATTTGCGTTAACGGTGTTCATGAGTTTACGGAGTAATGCACTGATAAATGACGTGTATACTGTTGACATGTTTTGCTAGTATTTTTTCTTTACGCCTTCTTTGTTCTAGATCACTTGCATTCATAGGTTTTATTAGAGGTGAGGCTTTTTGTAAGACCATTTATTTTCGTCGTCACATTTATATGACTTGCTTGCTTTATTTTAAGAGCTCTGTATGTCCCTCGTTCCTATTTGTTTTATGATTGCTTCCGGATAATAACACGTTTCATATTTTTATGCACTTTCTATGATATTTTTTAAATTACTCAAAATCTTAGTTGAAACGTTTCTTGACGATTGTTAACAAACATAAAGTTAATAGGCATAAAGTGACTTTAGAAATTAAGGCAGTGTTCAAGTGGATTATAAAAATGGATAATTACCATGATTATGAAAATAATCGTAACCCAAACCACTAACTCGGTTTCGGAATCCAAATGTTTTTTTTTTCAAGATAGTCTCAAATTTTCTGAATTTCAATATAGGTTTACGTACATATTTCAGTGTCTAGTAATTATGAATATTTTTTTATTTAAATGTGTTATTTCATGTGAAAATGACATTAATTTTTTTCGTTTTCACTATCTACCAAGTGGGTCACGAAATTTCCAGATTAACGCCAGTTATCAGAAATAGATTTAATATATTAACCTTTCTATTATTCGGTTTTGTACTATTTACATTACTGAAAATATTTTAGATTGCTTTAAAAATATTTTTTAACCTAAGGAAATTGGTCATTCAGTAAAATGAAAGACGTAAACGGATGAAGTGAATTTGTAAAGCAATTTGTAATTTTTGTTTAATTTTATTCTAATTTTCTATTCTATTCGCTCCGTGCGTGACTGACGCGACACCTACCGCCTTCATCTGACAATTTTGGAGTCCCAATTTTCAGGTTAAACATATGACATATGTTTGACATTGTTAAATACATGCGAAATTGACAATTATTAATAAATTAGTTTTTTAACTATATTTTTTCAGTTTATGTACAAAATAAATGTAGTATTAAAAACTGGGTTTCTCAAAATTCGTCATAATATATCTTTTCAACTCCAAACGGAAAAGAAAGGGAAAAATCTAGTACTGGCAAATCAAGTTTTTCACGCAAAAGAGCATATAATTAAAAACAATAATAGTAAAAGTTCTGATATTAAAGCTAAAGTCATCTGCAGTTAGCTTGAAGCCTTATGAAATATCATTCAAGGTAAATTATTTAAATATTTTCTATTTCAATTGCATAAAAATGAAATTATGTGATATTTACTTTTTCATATTAATAGCACGAATTCATCTTTTTCTTTTCTCTAATCTATAAGTAATCTTTGGGAATCTATAAAAACTACACTCACTGTTTTTGCTATTATTAGCACAATTAAATACGCAACATGTATTTGCACACAATTTTTATAAAATTTATGCGTAAAACTATTTTGTCCAATATTCCAATTTTGTCATATTTCGCCGCTACGCACGCTGGCATCGTTTCAATGTATCCCTACCATGGTCACGCACAGAGCGAATATCAAGTTACTGCGAATCATCATATTGTAAATTATTTTTTGTTATTCTATATTATATATAACAGCACTACAGGCTATGGATATTTGGTTTTTAAGTTCTTGGTCAGTATCCACTTTTTTCAGTGCTTGACTTTTCTTCAATCTGGTATTTTGTTGTGCCGTTGGCGCCTTTTATAAGGGATATATTTATTTTTATTCAGGATAATGCAAGAACTTTTGAAATATATGTGGATTTAACAATAATAAACTTTTGGTCACGCTTCGGTGAAGCCATTAGATATTGGAAAAGTATATTACATCCACAAACTACTAGTGAAATTTCTAAGAGCAATTTTCCGCTTGACTGCGCCATGGACAATATATCAAAGTTCATTTAAACTCTACAAACGTCTTATTAACGTTTTCATTAACACTTTACTTTGCTCGACACTATTTCTTTGATTATAATTAAATATGAAAGACGAATCCTTTCCATATTATTGAATTTATACTAGTTTGCACTCTTCCCAACTATTCTAATTACTTTCGTACTGAGGCGGAAACTCGGGATGTCAATTATGTTGTCTAATTCCGTTAAAGATAGAAAAGCTTTAATATAATTGAAAATATTAAAGTTATTTTATTGTGCTTTCTATTTCAAGTAATTTCCTTTATTTAGCTGTCTCACCGTGAGTGATATTATGAGTTCTATACGTAGCATAGTGGTCAATTTCACAAAAAATATTACTTCTACACTTAATTGATAAAGCATTGTCTTTAACAGCTCTTTAGGCATATTTGGCATATACTTCTCAATCTCGTTGACTATGAATGATTCTCATCAGTCTTCTGTCTTCCATTCTGCTAATTCTGTCTAGCACCCAACCGTTAATATCGTCTATCTTGCGTGTATTCCTTTAGTTTTCACTTGTTTCCCTATGTAAAAGCGCCTTTCTAACCGTATACCATTATATCTGCTGTTTTAAGCAATCTTTTGGTTTTGTTTCTGGTCTAGTCATTACGGAGTATGTCATTATAGGCCTTATAGCAGCCAATTCCAATGTTTTTATTACGCCATATTGTATTATTTGCAATAGCACGTACCTCATTTGTTAACCTTAAAAAGTTTCTTATGTTTTCGAGATATAATGTTAGGACTAAATGGACATCAATAATACCCAGTTTGGATTCCGAAATGGACTCTGAACAAAAGAGGCGTTGTTTGCACTGAACGTTAAGTCTCAAAGATGTCTTGACATAAATCAAGATGTATTCATGTGTTTCGTAGATTACAATAAGGCCTTTGATAAAGTGCGGAATGATCACCTAATCAGACTCCTGTCAGAAAAGAATTTAGATAAACGAGACATCCGACTAATAGCAAATATGTACTACAATCAGAAAGCAGTAGTGAGAGTAGAGAATAATACTACTGAAGAAATTTAAATAAAACAAGGTGTGAGACAAGGAAAAGGTCCATAGGAAGAAGACGAAACTCCTGGCTAAAGAATCTACGGGAATGGTATAGCTGAAGCAACAAGATGGCACTTGAAAAAGAAGAATGTTAGGACTACGCCTAAGGATTGCTTCAATGTTACGTGTTCACTACTCTTTTTTATGGATGGAAGCATGGATATTGAAACAAGTGTATCTGAATAAGTCGGCCGCTTTTGAATTTTGGTGTTACAAAAAATCTCACGAGTAACATGGACTCATAGAATGTCAAATGCAGAAGCTAATAGAAGAATAGGAAATGAAGCTGAAATATTGTTGACTATCAAAAGAAGAAAACTTGAGTACTTAGAACATGTGATGAGAGGGCCAAAATACTCATTATTGCAACTTATTATGCAAGGCTAAATTCGAGGATAGCGAAATGTAGGTAGACGAAGAATATCGTGGCTTAAGAACTTAAGGGAGTGATTTAAACGCCGTGGTACACAACTGTTTAGAGCGGCAGTCAATAGGGTCGGACAGCCAGCTATTTATGTTGCGTCTAGTCTTTGTTCTCTAATTTCTTCTTCAACATCACCCTAGTCTGAAAATCTGTACCTAAGTATTTAATCTTCATCTCTTGCTGGGTAATCAAGCCTTAAGTTTACATCCTAAAAACCTAACAGGTTTCTTTAATGTTGTCATACATTTTGTTTTAGCTGCTAATATCACCATGTTAAATGATTTTGCTATGAGGTTAAATTTATTGATGTAGGAGTGGTTGTAGGTCGTCTTTCTTTTTGGCAGCAAACGCCGCGCCGTTTCAGTTTTGAATGGATTAGTTGGAGAGATACATGATTTATTTTAGATAAACACAGTCAAATGCCTTCACAAGATCAATTAAACTTAAATAGGCAGGCTTGTTGTATTCTATTAATTTTTTTGTTATTTGTATTCTTCTTCTTCTTAAGGTGTCTTATTATTAAATGTTTATTATTATATTATTATATTATATATTATTAAATTTTTTTTTGTTTCAGGAACAAATCTTTTCAACGTTGCTGCTCACGAAATAGGACACTCTCTAGGACTGTCACATTCGAACGTAGAAAGTGCTTTAATGTATCCTTGGTATAAGGAAATGGAAAATGGATTTGATTACGAACTGCCGGATGATGACAAACAAGCCATACAATATTTGTACGGTAAGTTATTTTCTACCGCCAAATTTTTTTGTTTTTTTATCAGTATGGATTTAGGCTTGAATATCGACAATTGATCAAATAGTTACTATTACACAAATGTTTAAAAACTATTGGGAGTATAGTTATGACGTACCTACATCGTCTAAAACTATGGAATGCAATGGTTAAGCTGGGGAGACCTAAATATCTAGCAGCCGTAACGCGAATGTGTTAAGTAACTTCTTTGCACGAATTAGAATAGGAATAAAAACATCAAAAGCTTTTTGATAGAAAAAAAAAAATTGATAGAAAAATCAAACCAGATATACTTGAAGAACTTAAGATTGGAAGTAAATGATATTTTCTGGAGTTTTGAAGAAGCTGCAATAAATGTCGCTTTAAAACTAAATATTAATTTAAACTTAAAACTATGTACTAAAAAATATTTGGGAAACATGAGAATGTTTAAAACAGTTCTTCGTTTTAGTGAAGCAAAGTGCTACCAACTTTTCGCACAACACATATGTATAGAAATTGCACTGTGAAAATTTTCACCTTATTTTTTTCCGATCATACAGGCCAATAGTGAATTCCATCCATTCGAACATCTTTTACTGACGAAGAATGGTGAATCGCTCTTCTATCCTGCATAATGCTTCTGCCAGTTGTATTTCAAACTGAGCGTGTGTGACTTCGCGCCAGTTCTATGTTCAGCTGAATTCTTGTAAAGAATCCAACTGTTAGCAACGGTTAGATCTAGTAGATGATAATATATTCCAAAATACCATTTTTTACTCCTTAGAATAATTTTATTCCATCCCATATTGATGTCCAACAAAGCAACACCGTCCATATGACGGTTGTATTCTTTTACAAAATATGAACAACTTACTTCTTTTTTCTCTTTTCTTTCTTGGCATATCTCTTGACAGTAGTTTTAGGAACTTTGCCAGCGAAAGTCGACAGAAACCTGACTAATTTGTTATCTTTCCACACTAAGCTTTCTACTTTCCCAAAAAACTCTACACTAGTTCCTCTTTCTTCATTTTCATAGCATTTTCATCCGGAAGCTTACAATTTGGAACCCTTTTCTTCTTACGGTTCCTAAACTGTGCATAGCTTGTTTGTAAACATATACAAGGAGAGATATAGAAGAATGATAATTGTCAAAATAAAGCCTGTGACTTATATTCCTAGGAATAATTCTAGCCAATCTTACCACAACATTTGCAGTTGCTCTGAGGTCAGGTTCAAAAGCAGGTCTCGTTTTTTTATCATTCTCTTGTCTTATTTTCTTGTCTTATTTGATAGGTACTGCATCATACAGTGCCTAACTTTGGTAGAACAAATTTGCTCATCGACGGACAGTTATTGTTCTATTGGAATTTCGTTTGAAAATGTTTCATTGAGGTGGTCAATTTATTGATCTAATTTTATAAACTATCAAAGTTTTTATTATCCCGGGATAAGACATTTGTTATTATTGAAATGTAAAAATTATCTGATTTTTCGTACCTGTTGACTGACATAGCACTTTTTATTTTCTCAAAGCCAATTTCTTCTAACCAATATGCCAGTATTGGGAAAATGAACAAGGGACATATATATTGTAATTCCAATAAACTACTATGTCACTTCGTGTAATATCCAGTGGTTTGTTAGGATTCTGGTGTATGGCATATACATTTGACTCCTCCACAATTTTGTCTAAAAGGCTATCCGTGAAGAATAAATTAAAATATTCATAGGGACTTTCTAGCTGTAGGATATGGTTTGGAAGACTCGGATTTCCTTTAAATTTCAGTTGCTGTTCGGACAAGTTCAATGTTTTTGTTCTCCATATAATGTCTCAAAATAAAAAACATCTAGTATTTTGCATCATAAATTGATTGTAAAATACGTATACCTTTGCCCTTGGAATAAACCAGAGTTTCTAGAAGCTCCTCCTCTACAATGCTATTAACTATATTAGTGTCTACAGCATTCTCATCCATTTCGTTAACTAGTTCAGAATTATCAGACTCATCATATGTACTTACTTGTTCGTTAGGTAAGAAATCTGGATTGACAATATCATCATTATCATCATCACCAAACCCATCTTGGCTATACCAATGTCTATCTATTATATGGGCAAGTTCCTTGTCAGTCAATGGCCTTTTATCTTTTTAACTCATGATGTTTTATCCAAAAGATAACATTTACTAGATATGCATGATATTGTTTGTAAACAACAACAAAAAACATCATTGTGAGAAAAATATGTGCAGTACTCTATACCGCAAGAAATCATGCGTTTTACTTATCTTATTAATAACACGTAATATATATTTACTCAAATTACTTTGGTTAAACTAACAAAAACAATCTGAAGCACGTGTCAGTGTCTAATCGTGTACACTACTAACTAAAAAGACCCAAAACTGGTAACCAACACCATCTATGATTGTTTAGTCTACTTACGCTGATTAATACTGCATGGTTAGTGAACAACGTCATGCACAAACTGATTCATCTTTATCTGCTATTAAAATAAATGTTTATTTTTAGTATGTTGCTTTTAAACAACATGACGCAGTGAAGGGTTAATTATAAAAGAACGATCATAATTTGCATATTTAATTATTAATAAATTATATTATTATCCATAATTTCATTCTTTAGGTGCTCCAGAAGGTGGCAACAGCAAATGGGCCAAAAATCCGGAATATCATCCTCAACCTACTACTACAACAACTACTACTACCACGACTACTCGTCCACCCAGATATACACCAAGGAAGAGACCTCAAAATCCTAGACAATACCCTTATCCAACATACTCACCATATTACCCTCAGAAACCGATGAATCCTAGTAAAAAACATTATTATCCCAATCAAAATGCTGGCTATCCATATTCACCAGATAGAAAATATCCAAAACAACATGCACCAGGTGAGTTATACCTGAATAATCTGATGTGGTCTTTAGATGGCCCATATTTTCTTGAATATATTAAGCACACATATTCCGCAATAATTTTACTTGTCAACCTATACTGAACAATATCATTGTGTAATAAGTTTTCTACTGCGTTAAAGACATTTTAATTTTTATTTTTATATTGTATAGAGATTGTATTTAATATTTATTTTATATTGTAGAGAGAAACTATCCGGTATCTCCTACCAAAAGATACCCGTATAGGCCTCCGGAGACTGCTCCTCCACGAACGTACGCCCCAAGAACATATCAACCAAGACTACCTGAAAGACATTATCCTCCAAATCCGGTACCGACTCGAACAACTGCTAAGCCTCCGCCAGATACTTGCAACACGAGCTACAATGCCATATCTGTCATTAGGAGAGAAGTCTTCATTTTCAAAGATGCGGTAAGCAGATGTTTTAGATTTACCAAAAAGTCTGATTGTAATTCATTTATGATTGAATTCATGTATAGTTAAAAAATGCATGTATAGTAAACAAAACTATTGTTTGACAGTTAGTTTTGTTATTTGGAAATTGTTTTTGTTCGAACAATTCTGCAACTTTCCTCTACAGACAACAAATCAGAGCAAATCTTTATTGATTGTATTATATAAATTTCTTTCCGTATTTTATTTAAATATCGATATTAATTTCGATGAATTATTTCTAGTATTTCTGGAGAATAGGCGACAACGGCCTAATGCCAGGATATCCAGCGTTGATACGAAGACTCTGGCATGGTCTACCGGAAGATTTGACACACGTTGATGCTGTTTATGAAAGAAACGACGGTAGAATCGTGTTCTTCATAGGCGACAAATATTACGTATTTTTAGACAACCACGTGGAGAATGGTTACCCAAGACCGTTGTTCCATCTAGGACTTCCGCGAGAAATTAAAAAAATCGATGGTGCAATGGTTTGGGGACACAATGGAAAGACGTACTTTTATAGTGGAAATATGTATTGGAGGTGAGTATTAAATATTTCTTTTTATTGATGCTTTTCTATAATCACCCCTATTTTTCAATCCTTACGGTAGCATCCCTAGGGTAGCGTGATGGGCCCATTTCTGTATCTGATATTTACAGCAGACGTTCCAACCAGCAATGATATCTTCTTAGCTACTTTTGCCGATGACACCGAAATCTTGGCAGTGAATGTTGACCCTAATGTAGCATCACACAAAGTACAAAATCATTTACTCCAATTACAAAACTGGCTTAAGCGATTCAAGATCACTGTTAATGCTAGCAAATCAGTACAAATTACTTTTACAAATATTATTAATACTCCCATTCCTATAAAATAAGTTATCAAATACTTGGGATTGCATCTGGATGAAAAACTGACGTGGATAAACGCACATTAAATCTAAACGGAAACAACTAATCTTAAACTAAAAAATATGAACCGGCTATTTAACAAAAGGTCAGAGTTATCTCTTGAAAATAAACTGCTTCTGTATAAAGCTATACGCATAACAGTTTGGGCATATGAAATAGAACTGTAGAGCTGTAGTAAACCTTCATATACGAAAATACTTCAAATATTTCAATTCAAAATACTCCGTATGATAATTAAAGCTCTATGGGCTCGCTGCTGACCAAAGACAACAATGTCAGCGAAGAAATTAAAAGGTATCTAACCAAATTCACAATGATCTGTACATCCCATCGCTTAAAATAATAAATAATTACTTAATAAAATATAAAAATCGTATCACTGATCACAACAACGAACTGATAAATAATTTATTCACCCAATCGATTGCCGAAAGAAGATTGAAGAGAGTATGGCCAGAAGACCTACCCTCACTAGACGGTACCTTCTTCTTCTTGTGGTGCCTATCCGATACGGATGTTGGCAACTAGCATGGCAATTCTAACTTTATTGACCGCAGCTCGAAATAGTCCTGAAGTGGTCAAGGAAAACCATTTTCGTAAATTCTGGAGCCAAGATATTCTTCTTCTTCCTGGTCCCCTCTTGCCGTAGACCTTTCACTGTAGTATAAGTTGCAGCAGATTATATCTATGGTCGTTTCGCATTATATGTCCAAGATATTCTAGCTTGCGCTGTTTTACTGTGGATATAATTTCACATGTCTTATCCATCCGACGTAGAACCTCAATGTTTGTTACTCGATCAACCCACTAGGTCCTCAGTATCCGTCTATAACACCACATCTCAAACGCCTCGAGTTTTCCTATGGTTGCCTCGGTTAGTATCCATGATTCAACCCCATAGAGCAGCACTGTAAACACGTAGCATCTCAATAAACGGATTTTTGTTTTTAAGTGTAGTTCGTGACTCTTAAATATCTTGCTCATTTTAAAGTTTTATACTTGGTTTATTAGTTATGCTGTAAATGTAAACACGCATCCACAAAGATGAAGTACAGTGCGCGCAGAAGAAGTTATTGCTGCTGTAGAGCGTAGCCTAGATGATGACCAGAATGAGTCCATCCGCCATCGTCGTCTGCATAACATAATATTTGGATTTCTCTGTTCTTCATTCTGTAACCTACTATTTGTATTATTTTGTATATTATTATATTAAAGAAAGGTGGATTTAACGAGTCACCCTGTCTGACTGCTCTTTGTACTGGTATACACTGTGTTAGTTTTCTATTTATCTTCACCTGTATTCGATTATGGAAGTAGATGTTTTCGATGGTTTGTATAATATTGATTGGTATGTTTCCTTTATACAGTAGGTGTGAGATGTCTTCGACTTGGATGCGATCAAAAGCCTTTGTAAGGTCTATAAAACATAGATATGCTGGTTTATTGACATCTGAATCCTTGTTGTTCGACTGATAAAGTTAATTGATTTTATTGGTTAGGACTTTTGTGGTAAGCTTAAGTGCGATGTTCAGTAGATTTCTACCTCTGTAATTTTTGGGGTATTCTTTATCTCCTTTCTTAAACATTGATATCATTAGGCTGTTCCTCCATGCGTCTGATATCTTGCAGTGCAGTATTAGTTTTTGTATAAGTTATCTCAGTTTGCGTGTTAAAAAATCGAATTTGTGCAAGAGTTAAATGCCTACGATCACCGGATTGCTACAAAATATCATGCAAGGAAAAATAGCAGGCAAACGCAGTCCAGGACGAAGAAGAACCTCATGGTTGAAGAACTTGCGAGATTGGTATGGTGTAGATACAAGCATGCTATTTAGGGTGGCAGTGAATAAAATTAAAATAGCTATGATGGTAACCAACGTTCTGAAAGGACATGGTACATGAAGAAGAAGATCACCGGACAAGTCATAAATTCGCAAATGGACCTTAAAAACGATTGTTATAGATCCCTATTTTCATAACCGAATTTTGTTTAGCAATGAAGCATTTTTGGTTGAATGGCTACTTCATTAAACAAATTATGTTTATCACCATTTAAAAATACCAGTGGAAACTGCATCAATTCTTTTTAATATTTGATTTCAACGTCAACGTTTTCTTCCCTAATATCCTTAACAATTAAAAAAATCGATGATTTTAATAATATTTTTATTGCTCTTTTCAGATTCGATGAAGAAGTTCAAAAAGTCGAACTGGATTATCCCAGAGATATGTCGATGTGGAAAGGAGTTGGAACGGATATTGATGCCGTATTTCAATGGAAAGATGGTAAGAAAAAAACTAATCACATGCTTACAAAAAATATGTATTGGAAATATTTATATATATTATTATTTTCAGGAAAAACCTATTTCTTCAAAGGCAAAGGCTTCTGGAAATTCAATGACTATCACATGCGCGTAGAACACGAGAAACCAAGACTATCAGCTCCATTCTGGATGGGATGTACGACGAATTACGAAGAAAACAATCACTCTACAACCACCCGCACCAAAGAATATTCTAGAACGCACTCTCGCACTAGCCATCCTACTCCCCACACAACCCGCAAAGTTCCCTACAATACGTTAGGGGAGAAAATGCCGTTGAAAGACGCTTCACGAGAAACTGCCTCAACAGCCACGTCACATAGTCTTAATGTACTTTTAGTATTCGCGGTTTTTTATGGAATTTATCACGGGATAGGTCTTTAGAGATACGCTCGTCAGATTAAATTGGGTAAGAACGATATCGAAATAAGAAATAATCAGGCAACTGACTGTTTGTTTTTATGTATTACGCATCCTAGCTTGAAAATGTTGAATTCTTAATAAGTAAAACGTTTGTTTAAGATGTGTCGGCGAAATGTAAATATTAATACAACGTTTTTGTTAAGTTGTTCTTTTCTTCCACTTTCTTTGATAAAGGATCGGTACGTAAAATGAAATCGTAGGCTTCCACAGCCAGAGTCAGAATTATAGTTTATTCGTCTTCCGGGTTTGGACCGTGTCATTTGTGAGTGACCCAAAAGTGGGTCCATCTCGACGATTCACTAGCGGAGTAGTCGTAGCGGAGTAATCGTCGGATTCACTCCCCGCCTCTCGACGCGTTAGTGTTCTGAGCTGTTGGACGTGAATCCCTGTCCTGACATTTGGTTTTCACCTCTGGCTGCGTTGAGTAGTTGAGTTACTGTGACCAAATGCCCATCTTGGTAGTTAGTATTCGCCTCTGGTTGCGTTGAGTAACTGAGTTACCGTTGCTAACTACCCATCTTCCTGTCTTTTGATTTCTTTTTCTTTGTTCTCCTGAAGAAGCTACATACAATTGTAGCGAAACGTCGAGATGAACCCACTTTTGGGTCACTCACAAATGACACGGTCCAAACCCGGAAGACGAATAAACTATAAAGGTCGGTACGTAGTTCATAAACTTGCAATTTTTTTGTGTTCTTTGATTCGAGATAGATGGTGCCTGGTTACTCCTATTCACTTTGTATTGGGACATTTGGTTAGTGGGCGTTCATTTTTGTCTTCGACCTACCACTATGTGATGAGCTCTGATAGGGAGAAACATGTCATAGTGTGGCCGGAGCACTAGCTTTTGGATAAAAAGGACAAGGCACTCATGCCTTCTAGGCGCGTAATATGCCAAGTTTATACATTGAAATACGACCTATGTAAAAATAATTTGCTGTTGTTTAATTGTCTAGTAATCCGTTTAAGATTCTATCAATTTTTGGACATACAACTCCTCTTGCAAATTTTTGTTTCCTTTAATCTTTCATGCTAGCCAGAAGAATGTGAATTCCATTTTGTTAATTCCTATGTCACAATAAATGTGTTCCTATAGTTGTTTTTCCCGCTCACACTCGGCTATCAGAGAATTATTTCTTATCTAGCGGGGTGCACCAGGTGACTTTTGTCTAGTGGAGACTGAAATCTGATATTTGCTTCGCTTATTGTTATAATTTAAGTCCCATCCCCTACGCCCCGTTAAATTATTTTGTAATGACTAAAAAATGTTTGGATGAGCAGACAAAAATATATTGAATTATATAACTCACAAGTCAGCCACAATAGATCTCTTAGGTCGAGTGAAAGGGTAGTTAAGTGAATATTCGAATTCACCAGCGCATGTTTAAAAAGAGAAAATATTAGAATTCAATATTGAAACCCATTACCTATTCGTAGACTTCAAGGCCGCATACGACAGTGCCAAGAGAACAGTGCTATACCAATCAATGCATGAGTTTGGTATACCAGAGAAACTTATCCGACTAACGAGAATGACAATGTCTAACTTAGAAGCCACTGTTAGAATACAGGAAGAGAATTCTAGATCCTTTGAGATAAAGTATGGACTCCGACAAGGGGATGCTCTGGCTTGCCTCCTATTTAATATTACCTTAGAAAAGCCAGTCCGAGATACACGAATTAGGGATGGCGGTACTATTTACAATAGATCGATACAAGTCTTAGCATATGCTGAGGACATTGACATAATAGGGCGTAGCAAGCGAGATGTTGAGCAATATCTTCTAGAATTAAAACAGCGGCGAAACAGGTCATTCTAGTCATCAACGACGACAAAACCAAGTACATGTTGGTTACAAATGATCCTATAGCAAATGAGGAACGAGAAACATTCTTTGGAAGTCATACCTTTGGACGTGTTGACAACTTCACATACCTTGGGTCGCTATTGACTGCTACCAATGAAACAATCGAAGAAATCAAAAGACGAATAAATCTTACAAATAGGGCATACTATGGACTCCAAAAGCATTTCCACTCAAGAAACATTCAAAGAAGAACTAAGAATTATATACAAATCATTGCTGAAATTATATACACATATGGAGCAAAAACATGGACTCTAACGCAGAAAGATGAAAAACTTTTGGGAATATTTGCACTTAAAATACTCCGCAAAATATTTGGAACTATAAACGACCAAGGGCAGTGACGCAGAAGATATAATTTTGAATTGTATCAGCTCTTTGATGAGCCAGATGTCATAACGTTTATTAAAACACAGCGACTTAGATAAGCTGGACCCATAATACGAATGCCAGAAAACACGATTGCTAAAAAGCTAACCACAGGAACACCTGTAGGAAGAAGAAGCAAAGGCCGACCGCGAATTAGGTGGTTAGATGGAGTTGAAACCGTCTTACGGATATTAAAAATCAGGAGATGGCAACATGTTGCCAGAAACCGAACAGAATGGCGACGAATCTTAGAGCAGGCCAAGATCCATAGAGGATTGCCGAGCCAAAGATGATGATGATGATGTTTAAAACTAAAATATAGATAATTTTATAAAATTAAACACAAATTCTAGTCTTATAGCAACATATATCAAGAAAAGCCATTAACATAGTGAATTAACTATATTAGAACAAAAGCAGAAGATTTTTGTAAATAAAAAGCTGTAATATAGTGACGGATAGCTGTAACTAAAACAAAAGGCAAACATAGAAAGTATTATAAATACTCTAAAATGTTTAAACCACACTAAAAAAGACAGAAACTGTCAAAAAGCACTAAAAAGTTTACTATCTCGAAAGCCAGCAAAGTAAAATTTTTTGAAACAAAGTTAGCCCAATTATTTAGGCTATCAGCTTATGCGATAAATAACAGGCTAGTCCTATTAATATAACCTGTTAAAAACAATGATTTACTCAGATTTGCCTATATAAATATTTAGAAACAGAATGCAGTATTTATAATTTTTAAAAGTACATCAATGCATTTTGAAGGTGCTTAAAATAAATTTTTTCTAGGAGCTTACAACATGCTCGATTTCTGTTATTTGTAAGCACTGCTTCCCTTTTGCTCAATATACTTGGTAAGAAGCTTCTTAACTTTTTTTATCCCTTTAAAAAAATCCTCAATATAATGTGAAATTCTTTTGCTAAACGACCCTATTTTTAAATGGTCGAACATGATCAAGCGGGGCTGAATCTGTCGTATAAGGTGAGTAAGACATTAATTCGTATTTCAGTTGGTGTAACATTGCCGATGCAATTGCCGCTTTGTGAGCGGATGTGTGGTCTTGATGAAAGAAAATATTTTGCACAATGAACCAGGGCAATTTATCTTCAAATCGCTTTCAAAATGACCCAATAAGACTGCAAAATGCGCTCAAATTATTTTTGTACTGTTTTTCAAATAATCAATGTTAACACTACCTTTCACATTCCAAACAATAGTCGTCTTCATCTTTTCTGCAGATAGGATGGTCATGGGCTTTTTTATTGGCTTTTACGACAGTGTTTTGTGCATAGCTTTACCTGTTTGTTCTTCTCCATTGTATAGTAATACTCAAAGTTCATTAATAATTACGTATCTACGAAAAAAATCTTCATAATTACGTTTTGTTATTGCCGAAAAATCCTCCAAATCCGACGCAAGTGTGCGTTTTGTGGTTACCAGTTAGATACCACGCAAGATAGCTTTTTCATATCTAAATATTCATGATGAGAACTTCCGACGCTCACGAATTTTGATTCTACGATTTGCCATAAACATATAATGAACTATGTCTACAAGTTGACTCTGATTTTTTTGTAGCATTTGCCCTTTTTTCAAGTAAAGTTACCTAATAACTGAACAATACTCGACTTTTTTCAAAAACACTTCTAATTGCTTCCTTTTGATGATTTTTTTAACCAAACTTATAGTTTTTTTGACGTTTGACAGACGTCATGCTTTGAACGACATGTTAAAATTGGGAGCAATCTGTTTTCACATAATGCCATCTATCGAGTGATAGATTTACATAAAACTTGTATTAACTACATATAGAGGAATTTTTAAAAATTAAGTAATAATTCATCAATGTTTTTTATATATTATTTACAATTACAATTTATTGTATTACATACAATTTATTGTATTTACGCCGACTCTTCTTTAAGAAACGTTGAAATTATTTCAAACTTGCTTCTTTTTACGATACTTTATAAAATTTTTATTGTTCACTGTTAATATGACCTATTTTGATATACTATAAATCATTAATATTTGATATTTATATATTCATGCACTGTAATACATTTTAAAGTAAAAAAAGAAACAGAGGGCTCGTCATTTATCTGGATATATTTTTGGTATACAGGGCGCAATATTTGTACACACATAACAATACTTAAAAACTCATTTATAGATAACTTGTGAGGATAGTTCAGCTCAAACATTTATTTTTGTTCACATACTTAATCCAAAACTTCTTTCTCACAGAAGTACCCCCAGAAAGATTTTAAAACAACCAGGTTAAAGCTTTTGTTGAAAGGAGACGATGATTTTCCCAAAATTGATGGATTTGACGGCCCTATATCCAAACAATGATAAGTTTTTCGTTATATTTCTAGTTATTTCTTTGATGATTTACCGTCATGCTTCCCAATATAACCTAAATTTCTGTGAGAATCCGCCATGCTCTAAATAGTTTATCTGTCAACCTATAAAACTGATGTTTGTTTATGTATTGAGACGTGTTGTTTCGTGTGTTTTGTCCAATATTACAAAAAGAATAATACTGTTATACATATTTGGTACATATACATAAAAGTATTTTGTTGCCTTAAAAAATCGATAAAAAGTAATAGAAATCGACTGATTTTCATCACTATTTTGAAATTAACTCTCAAATTCAATCGCTTTTTATCGTACTAAAATACTTTCACTACGTTAATTTGTTTGATTAAAAAAAACAAGTCGATATTTTTGACTTAGAACTTTTTACTGCTATAACTATAACTTTATTACTGTTCTAAATGACTTCCTCATTACTTTTCTTAGTGTACTAAGTAGTGCAACTGTCATTATTCCTACCGACAAAGCCTTCGCTTCTTGTTGGGTGGTGTATTCTGTACTGGTTTCAGTTTCCTCATTCGAAATGCCTTCGTTTCCATATAATTCACGCCTTACCTTTT